ATCCTTTTTTAACTTTTTTCTTTAGTGTTTTTTTTTCTTCTCGTTATTTACTTCCACAGTTTACAGCATTATAGCATATTGGTTGTTATTCCTTTCTGAAATGCTATGATACACACACATATGCTGTAAAGTACGTTCATGGCAATAAACATTAGTCATCATCAGTATAGCATACATTGTTATAGCTTTTCATTGTGTTTATATGCATAATCATGATACAGAATATACAACTTCGCAATATTATACGCATAAAAGGAAAACACACTTGGAATAAAATCACAGTTTAATAGGAAGACATTTATTGAGAAATATGTCTTTGTATATAAACATTTTCATTTTCTTATCATGAACCACGTATGTGACGAGAGAAGGGTAGAACTCCCCTTAAAGGAAAGACAGCGTGGAGAGACAGACAAGTTAAATTGTTGCTTTTCGTTCATATCTACATGCTAATAGAAGTGTCACAGCATGTGTTTCTAGATAGAGTAATCATGTCAGAAGTGAGATAATGGCGTAAACATTTCAAGGCACAATTTACTATTCACAAATTTATCCGTTTTACATGTAATGTTGTAAACATTTATGCTCGTACACGACATTTATACCTCAATGGAATTAATATGTTATTTACAAACATTTATAACCTTGTTCTTACTTAAATCTTTGGTCGAAAGCATAGAAATAATGGATAATCTCTGAATTCAATAGTAGATTTAAAGGGAATTCTTCTGATATGTACCAAAAAATTATTTTTCGAACGGGCATCTTAATTCACAAGATGGAACCGTCATAGGAAGGGAAAAAAAGGAGACTTATATAATCCAAAATCGACAGCACAAATGGCATTCTTTCAAAAGGAATTTTTAGGTTCACAATACGAAAATGTGGGGAACTTATATCACCTACGTAGATACTTAACATAACACAGCATTACATCATGGTAGAAAATTCAACACATACAATATTGTAGATTAGAATAATGGATTCACAGAACCTTACATATTGATTATGGTTCCTATCAACTTCGAACATCGAGAAGTAAATAGGACATGAAGATTGCATCTACCAATATCCATCTATTAGATACAGATAACAAACAGGTGTCTCACTGTAACTTTTTAGATCGATAACAGCACTGTTTTTCCTCACTCGTAGTTGGTGCAAGGTGGCACTCTGTTTTAACAAACTCTTATGTTGACTGTGTTATCCGTAACTAAGACCGTGCAAGCTAAATGGCACTGTCCGAACCCAAGTTAATGTAAGGGTGACAGCAGTGCCAACCTCTATTCTTAGTTCCGGATAACAACAGTGCCAATATTCTAAAGTCATAATGATACGACAGTGACATTGGAAAACCACTTGTGGGCAATGACATTTTCAATACTCTCACGTGTCAGGAGTGGAGAATGACAATGTCCATTACCCAGTCTTTCAGTGCCTACTTTACTCTCACAGAATGCTGATAACTTCTCACAACACTGGGTTTACGTGACATCAGTATCACAGAAGGAGAGTTCTGTGTCAGCTGTAATACCCAGTGCGTAGAAAATACCACAAGTTGATGTAGATACAGAAGTGCAATGTTAGTTTGAATATATTTACAAAGATTCTTTTCTGTTGGGTTTCTTTTACATTCACTCGCACAATACACACGCTTATCCCTTATAACATATAAAAAAGCAGTTGATACCGCATCATCATCGCTATCAAATGATATGCTAAGTAGAGATATACATGGACATGTGGCTATGTAAAATAGTGAAAATTTTTGGCCTATCATATATTTCATTCACATTATACTCAATCATTCATTCGTGAGATTAAAAAAGAAATGTCATTCTCGATTATAATTTCTTATTTTTGTCGTAAACATGTCACCTGAAAACCTGATATAACGGTATAATTTCTCGTTGAAACCAAGAACGCTAGGCATATCCTCATATATTAGAAAAAATATGTCGATAGCTTCTGCATGGTCAATCTACCTGGTCCCATGAGAAAACTGGTCGTTAACAACCCTAACTTTTTTCACAAAAAACAAAAAAATCTCAAATTCAAAATAACTTACTCTAGGAGGCTTTACAGTGAGGCACCTTTTATTCTTTTTTTTTCTGGTTTACTTGAAAGTAAAAATAGATTAAAGAAACTCAAAAATATCCGTAAATATCCATCGGCAATTTAGGTACGAGAGCAACGGCGTCGTTGACTTTCTTGAGCAATAAAAAATTACGAAAATTTAGAAGAGTTTGTGCTGGCGAGGACATGCCCGCCTTCCTGATCCGGAGACACACAGTACTACAGCATCGGTTCGCTTGAAATGCTTAATGCTGCGTATGTACAAAGCAGAGGTGGTAATGCTTGCGCGCATGTTTTGATTAAAGAGTAAAAGTTATATAAAGAGTTCAAAGTAAGAGAGAAAGACCTAAAAAAAAAAAAAGAAATAAAGAATAATAGAATAAAAGAATAAGAAATATAGCCCAAATTCAAAGGGGACGTGACTAGATCTCAATAACCTCATAAAAAATCGAATTCTTAAAATCTACATACGTTAATTTTCACTTTTTTTTCTCAAATACTAACGATTCTACTACGAATGAAGTTGTAAATGATCTCATATAATAAAAAAAAAAATCTCTTCATATCTCAAAATTCAATATAGGAGGCCAATAAAAATTGAAAATCACAGTCCCTTTCAGAATATGGGCGGTTCGGGCGAGCACCAGGCGCGGCCAGCGGTCAAGATGCCAGATGCCTCTTCCTGTCCGTCGCGGGAGGCCGGAGCTGGCGCGGACGATGAAGACGACCCAAGAGCATAAGCCAAACGAATCAGCTTATGAAAAAAACAACAACAACCAAAAAAAAGAGATAAAAAAATGAAATAGAAAAAAAATCTAGAAATTAAACCACCTTAGGAAAACAAGGAAGTGAGAGAATTAAAAGAAAAAAAAAATCAAACTGAAACATTAAAAACAAACTAAAAAAAAGGAAACAAAAAAATAAAATCACAACAACAGCACTACGGATCTACGAGGGAGCGATGGGAGAACAGGCCGCCCTGACCGAGTCCCTGATGGCCTTTTGTGCGTATGGGACCCTAGTTCAGGCGACCACTTCTTCAGGTATCATAAAACGAGTACAGCCTTTCACCTTCCTCATCTTCTACCCATGGTGGCAGCTCTAGGCACGAAGAACCTCACCAACAGCTGGGGAAGGACGAGGAAAGTCAATGAGTTTAGGTTCTCTTATCAGGATTATGGATGTATGTATGTGTATACGTATGTGCGTACATACATACATATACGTATAAGCACATATACACATACATACATATACGTATAAACACACATACACATACATACATATACGTATAAACACACATACACATACATACATATATGTACACAAAGTCTTTTCATTTTCTGATGTGGAGAAAAAAAAACTGTAAAAACTGCGTGGTTTGGTTTCATGTGTTATAAATTTGTGTGTGTGTGCGTGATTAAAATTTCAAGGTTTATCAGTAACTTTCTGTAAGGAATTCGTGTATCATTTCAAAGGGAACTATTGTTTAACATCAGTGTATGTGCGTTTGCGTGTATGTTTGGTTTTGGTTTATGTAATTGTATGTATGTATGAGTGTCTCTGTGTGTATGCATTTGCGTGTATTTGTACTCGTGTGTGCCTTTACATGTGCCTGAAACTGAGTAATTACGTCATTCACAATATCCTTCTACTTACCACTTCTTCACCTCGGCAGTGTCTCATTTATTATCATCTTTCTTTTTCGTGTCCGCAGTCTGTTCAGCGGCGATGACAGCTGCCTTAGCGTGGGCGTTCTGCAGCTTCGCTTCTTTCAGCTTCTTTTCCTTGAGCGAAGGCTGTAAGGAAGGAAAGGCAACATTAATAAGGGCTTATGGTGTTGTATGTATCTCGTTATATTTACAAGTTAAATGTCTGATAGTGATGATATGACGAATTATTTTGACGGAGGAGAGGCAAAATCTAATTTAGTAAGGGTTTGTGGCAGTACATAAGATTGTAATTATCTTGTTAATATCACAAGGTAAATGAACGTGCACTTGCTTAATAACCTAATAGTAATAAGGATAATAATGTGACGAATAATTAATAATGTAACGAAGGAGAAGCAAAATGTAAATTGATACGGGTTTATGGCTGTAAATAAGTTGTTAATTTCTCGTAAATGTAAATGTATATGATCATACTTAATAACCTTCGTTGCGTACGTTTTAATCTATCCGTCCGTTTTTCTTTGTCTGTTTGTTTATCAATTAACTTGTTTAAGTGTATATAGATTTATGTAAGCGTGTTCGTATGTAAGTGTATGTGGATGTATATATACATGTATCTGTGTGCGTGTGTATACGGAGCTGTGTATGACTGAAAATATGTTGATATCCTACGTTTAAACTAAATACCTATATATCTTATTTATCTACTGCCACTTAAAAAGGGAAAAGAGGAATAGATATAATAAGGGAACTTACCGGAATGCCTCCAAAGCCGTAAACTGTAAAAAGGAAGAGAGAAAACATACATTAATAGACAATAACACGAAAACAAATAAACAAGTACAAAAAAAAAAGTGGAGTTACTGGGGGAAAAATATGTTACGCATTTTTTTCGGGTCACAATTTTCTGCATAATAGCACTACAAATGCGACGTGAACGAGGCTGAATCGGATCACTTTGTACCAGACAGGGGAAAATGCTTTTATTGATTTCTTTTGCATAACTCTACGGGCCTACTACCCTCGTTTCATATATCTCCATTACCGCACTTTTTTTCTGCATTCTGCTGTACTTTTGTATCTTATCCGTTTATTTCTCTCTTTCTTTATGTTTATATATGTATATATATATATATATATATATATATATATATATATATATATATATATATACATATATATATGTATATATATATATGTATATATATATGTATATATATGTATATATATGTATATATGTATATACATATA